AGAAGTATGTTGCCATTCCAACTTGACTCACATCTTTATTTATGTGGCCAATGCAGGGAAGTGGCCCTTCCAAGTTGGCCCACCCTTTGGTGAGCCACCCAGGGGGAAAGTTTAGAAAAGGATGTTGCCATTCCAAGTTGACTAACCCTTTTGTCGGCAATGCAGGGGTAAAATTTAGAGAAGGATGTTGCCATTTCAACTTGACTCACCCCTTTGTGTTGGCAATGCAGGGGAAAAATTTAGAGAAGGAAGTGGCTATGCTGAGTTGACTCACCCTTGTGTGGGCCACCCAGGGTCAAAATTTGGAGAAGGAAGTGGCCATGCCAAGTTGACTCACCCTTTTGTGGCCAATGCAGGGAAGTGGCCCTTCCAAGTTGGCCTACCCTTGGGTGAGCCACCCAAGGGGGAAGTTTAGAGAAGGATGTCGCCAGATGTTTAAGTGGTTTAACTCTGTCTTCTAAATGTTGCTTTGGCATGTAAGGTAAGTTTGGAGGAGATAACTCATTAGTTTTTTCTGTCCATGATTAGACCTCTTGTTCGCTTCTATCATGTCTTTTCTTAATAAAAGCATTGCTTCCCTTGACTGCCTTAATTTCGATTCTGTATGTAAATGGTCTAGGTATGAAGTATCCCTCAAATCAAAGGGGCTGAAGTTCATTAACTGCTTTTGAAGATGAACACGGTTGCCAGTCTTTGCATTTTTTTCGTATTTCATCATTGGATATAGTATTATATAGATTTTTTCATGATGTACACTTCCGCTTTCTCTCAATTCCAGAACAGTCTATGAAAGCATGTGGCCGAAAACCTCATAAATTGCTCATTAGGGTCAAGTGCTCCTTCTGTTCCCTTAATTGTGAAATTTGTAATTCCCGACATTTTTGCGTTGTATCCGGTCACATTGACGTCCGCCAGTTTCTCAAATGACATACCTATAACGAATTTATTACTTCTGTATTGTTGATAAGAACAACTTAAAAACTATTTTGGTCTGGGCTCATGTAATGTATAGCTCTTCTTAAATAACAAAACGCTTCTGATAAACTTTGACTTTCAAATTCTGGATATTTCTGTGAGTTGCTCAATTGAATTTGCCAACTTAAATTACGTGTTGCATCTTGGAAACCTCTACCATATTAGTCTTCTGTGTTGGCGGCTCCTGTGTCATTATTTCTTCCATATACCATTGGATTGTAGAAGTTGTTCCATCGCTTGTATACATATCTGGCAAGAAACGCTTTAGGTTTTTGCCACTTCTAGGTGCTCTAAACAAGCTGATGAAGGCACCAGTCAATTTAGAAGATTATTTTACAATACTCAGCTTAATTTCACCACCTCTAGCATTGAAGGTTTGAGTGATCGTGTGATACATCGGAAATAGCTAATTTTAATCATTGAGCCTGTAATAAGTGTTGAGCAATGTTGTTTTTGACTGTGTTGTCTAATGTAATTATTTCTGCCCTTACTTCACGAGATATATGGATCAAAACTGAAGGCTTGCGGATCCAATTGAAAGAAGAAGGGTCGCTATAGAAAAGGGCTATGCGGCTAGGGATCAAAAAGAAAGCGGGCGGATCGCGGTTCTGGGTCAGAAAGAAAGGAGAAGGGTTGTGGGTCAGAAAAAAAGGGTTGTGGGTCAGAAAAGAAGGGTTGTGGGTCAGAAAAGAAGGG